ACAGGGCGTGGTGGCGTGCCGGGGATGCCGCGGAGCCGCCCCCCCCCGGGCCGCCGCCACCCGTGTCCCTGACCGCCGTGGGGAGCCCCGGGCAGCGGCGTGAGGGGCGGAAGGCCGACCGGGGCGGGGGGTGGTGGTGGGCGCTGGGGTGTAGCAGCTATGACTCTGTTGTGCATCTGGAGAGGGAGAGTCGTACGTAACACGGAGGTTTGAAATGTGGCGCTTGTCGTCTGGGTTAAGCGTTTGGTTTTCAGGCAGTTATTCAATGTGTGTAACCTTGTGCTCTTACCAAAACTGTAAATCTTACTTTCATAGGGCAGGGGAGCATAAGGTCCTGCGACTTGTAACTCTGATGTTGGATATGCATTAAACTGTAAGTCTTCTGATTTTGTTTTTGAAGTTGGATGGGTGAATGGAGTATTTATTTCACGTTTGTGTGAGAAAAACTTCAGAAGTAGTTTAAATGAAACCCTGAACAGACTTTTCCCACGCCCATTGCACGTATATGCCTCCTGGACTGCGATAATTGATTAAAAAATAGAAAAGTAAAGAAAATCTGTAAAACCTGGGGGGAGGGGTTGCCTCAAGCTCTTTTTTAAGGGGTTTTTTTGGTGGTGGTTCTTACTTAATTCTCAAGGGCTGACAGTCACCTTTTAAGCTTAAATCAATGTATAGGGAACTCCTGTAAGTGTAATACTAGTATGTTTCCTTTTATTTAACTGAAGTAACTGAGGTTTGGTGGTGCTTTTTTCTCTCTCATATGGATTGTTTAGTCAATTTCCTTAGGTAATCTGATTAATAATAGCTCAGTGAAGGTACAGATATGTTTCTCAAAGTTGTTTTTTATGTTGTTGAAATATAGATGCAATTTTGAAAGATGTAATAAAATACTAAATTTGTTTAGTAATTATTTTTTTGAAGGGAGAAAGGGACTATTGTAGATGTAATCATAGAAAGTGATCAGGCAAATGATTGCAACCACTAATGAACTAAGTAGCAGCTCAAGTAAGCAATGAGATAATTCACTGTATAAATTTTAGTATGTACATAAATTTAATTGTGTGTCAGTAGTTGCATCTGCTCTCTTAAATTTAATTTCTCCCATTAGCTGGAGTGAGGAACTAGAATCTGGATATAGCTGTCCAGATATCTAAAATGAGTTTGCTAAGGGGTAATACTTTCTGCATGCTTTCTGCTTTGAGTAAAGGCTGGTATCCTTTCCGCAGCAGAGAATCAGTTATTCTATGTTCATGAAGCTTCCTAGTGAATTTTCTGTGTATCTAGACCAAAGTTGTATAGATAGGAAATTACAGTGTACGGTCTATAAAACATTATAATGCCTTTGTACACCAGAGGAATGAAGATCTCTGAAACTGTTGTCCAGAAGTGTTACAGCTGTGTCATATGTTATCTTTGATTTAAGGGCTGTTTTGCTGAAAAGTAATTGACAATTTACTTACACTGTCACATAACCAGACAAAATAAATTGCTTTGAAGCTTGCTAGTAGTTCTGACCTTATGAGGGTGTCAGCAGTTCTGTGACTTGCAGTGGGGTGGTCTGTGGGAAGCCTTGTGGACATCGTGGCTTGTCACGATAGGGAAAAGACAGTTAGAAATGTTTTGAACATCCCATCATAGTTTCTGCTGTCCAAAAAATAAGTTGAGTTCATTTAGAAACAGGAAGGGAAGAAGGGAAGTTGAGTGTGCATTCCAAATGGCTTTCTAAATATTTTATTGTGACTTTTTTTAACCTAGATATCACAGCTTTCATTGCGGTGATAAAACATTAACCCTAAAGCAGTGTCGAGAAATCAGGTCATGTCCCATGGAATCAAGAAGTGTTAAACATCTCGTTTCATATTTTTCCCTAACAAGAAGTGCAATTGACACTCTTTTACGTTTCTGGAAGAAGTAATGGTTTGTGGTGGTGAAATGATGTTAATCAGCAGTTGCTGGTATAATTCATTGTCCACTGGGGAGGAGTCTGTGTAACACCTGGTAACTTGAGCCAGCCTTTTGGAGCAAACTTGCACAAACCCTTTAGATATTTGTGCCAGACCTTTTGACCCTCAAAGGTGGGGTGTGAAGGGGTTTCTTTTCAGTTAGGATTTCTTGCTAGGATTACAATACACTATAAGAAAAACACTTTTTCTTTACGCTATTGACATATGAATTACAAGGAAAACATATTTCATTCTGTGGTATATGACTGAGGTGGCAGTTACTTGGAGTTCAAGAAGTTTTTTCCAGCTATTAAGAATAGTGTTGAGACATTTGCTTTGCTTAATGTGATTTATAGACCAGCCTTCAGGCATGAAGCATAATGTGGAATTAAATTACTCAATACTGTAACAAAAAAAAAAAAGTTACAGTACTTCCTGGACGTTCCTCTCTTGCAGGTGGTTTTTTTTTTGTTTGTCTCATTTTTGGTGAACTTAGCTTGTTGTGGAGTGGCAAATTAATATGTAAGGTTAGCATACCATAGTGCGAAAGAAGGTCTCTTGCCAGTCTGTTTTGCAAACTCTGTCATGATTTGTGTTAGCTCTGTGTGCAGAAACCCACTGGGTTCTGGTCAGTGTCACTAAGTACTTGTATAGAATTAAAATATGACTAACTTTCACTTACTTTTAAGTAATACATTGACTATTCAACTAGCTTTCAGCAACTTAGTTGCAGCTCTTGATTACACTTGACAACCTGAGTCCAGGAACGGAACAGCAATTTATCATCAAATTTATTACTGCAACACATGTTTTTACTAGATATGGTTCTAGCAAATATCAAAGATTGTCACCTTACATAAACATGCATCTGAATGACACAGTTATCTTTGGTCGCCACCTTACCTCTGGGTATCTGTTTCTCACTGTATATCTCTGTGCGCTCAGATAGAGAAAAAGGGTGAAGACTTGTGTGGCCCTTCATAGAGCCTTGTTGTACCTTACTGTGTTGTACTCATTAAAATGTGTTTGCTAGTAACTACCGTATCTGTTTAATATTAGTCTTCTTGTGCATCCTAATCTTAATATTGGCCTGGAAAGCAAGTGACTGAGTTTTAAAAGAACTGGCGATGTTGTGAAAGTGCTAGTCACTGTTTTGATACCTTAAAAATCAGAGAAATGCTTTCTTATATATGCTGAAGGATGGTAGGGAATTGGCTGCTGTTTACTCCCCAAATGTAGCTGGTACATATATGCCTGTTTTCTAATGCAATGTTATCAGTTCTTACAGTATACTTAGTAGGGTTAACATAAGGGAGTTTTTTGAATATCATAGCTGTCTTGCTGTAATACTGTTGCATTAAAAGTACTGAAGCTAAGCGTACATGATGATGATTGCACAACTAAATGATTTTTTTTTTTCCAGAACAAATTTTTTAATAGACTAAATGGAGATGTATTAGAAAAGCAGGGACATGGTGTTCCTTCCTGTAGCCAAGCCTGGGAGGAAAATAAAGGGGTGAGGGGGAGGAGGAATGCTTCCCTGAAGGATGCTGATCCTGAGATGGGTGGGTTCGATTCCTTTTTGTTTAAAAAATGTCAGTAAATCTGAAGGCTTTTGAGTATTCACGGTCACTTAAAAGTTTCAGGATATTTTGATGAAGCAAGTCTGTCTTGCATGATTAGTGAGTGTCTCTTGTTTTATTGCATGATCAGTGATGATGTCAAGAAATAATGACAAATTCAAGGAACAAGCAACCTGGAACAAATGAAGGTGGGTAAGAGAGCAATCAAACAGCTGCACTGAACATGTTGAAGCAGGGGCTTCATGTAAAGAGCAGATCGAAGAGGAGGTTTAGCAGTGGGAAAGCTGGCTGTTACTAACAAAGAGACTGTAGGAAGTTAGGCTGGTGTGTGTCCTATTGAGAAGGTCTGTTCTCAGTGCCTGTTACATAGCTGGATAACTCTGTCTGAGGACCCCTTTGGTCTCTTTCTAGTTCAATTTTTTGTGTGTGGTTATAAGTGGATGTGTGAGATGAAACTACTAGTCCAAGGGTAATTACTGTCCCAAGAAGAACAGAAGATTTCTCTTGATTGCTTCTCCTCAACTCCAAGAGGAAGAGGAGCTCTCTTGCCTGTAATGAAGGCACAGTTAATTAGCGGAGACCTAATTCAGAGCACTCTTCCATCTTCTTTGTCAGCGTCACATTAACAGAAGGGTTTAGGAGGGAGGTGTAAAGAGGAAGACGTAAGGTGTCAATGCGATCATCAGCAGGTTTTGCAGGCTTCTTCCTGGACACATGACTATACTATATTAACTTCCTCCTCTGATTTAGATAGCTTTCTGTCCAATCACATTGGTAATATTTGTCATGAGATGTCAGAGGGAGAACTGATACCTTCTCTCTGCATGTGCAGTAGTGCGTCAGAGTGGTACATGGGAGAAAGCAAGCTGCTGACAGTTGCATTGCCTGAAGAGCTAGGAACTGTTCAGCTTGCTTCAAAGTTATGGTTAAGGCATATTCAACAAACAACTGAAATGGATCTCTGTGCGTTGTGTTCAGTGGATGGCGTGCTTATTTGCCTGATGTTGAAAGTATGGATCACGGTATAGGCCAACATCTAGTAATGTCGAAGGTCTATTGGATTGCAGTTACCTGAGCACTTGGTCTGATACTGTGGTTATTAGAAAACTGTCAGCTCAGTCCTTCACTGGACAGAGTTTGAATCCTCTCCGCACCATAAATTGTAGCAGAAGTGTCATGATGAGTGTTGTTTGCACTGTATAAACCATTGCCTCTACATTGGGGGAGAGGTGCTGGAGGGGAAATTGCAATTCATCTTTAGCATAGTAAAGGAGAAACTTTCATCTAAACAATAAGGGGCTCCTAACACTGGGAGAAGATTACGCACAGTGATGACCACTCCAATAATTTTTCACAGCAAAACTGTTACAGTACTTACAGTTGCACTTCAGGCAAGCAAGGATAAAATATTGTAAGTATCTCTAACCATTTAGGCTAAAACAGAGCTATTTGTTTTATCTGTATATAAATCACAGTGCAAGGGCAAAATAATGCATGAATCAAATAATGGATTACAGACTGTTATTGTTTGCTGGGTATTTTGGGCTCTTGTGCTTTTTTTACAAATTACTGTACAACTCAACATGTTTTTTTCTGACTGTACATGTCTTGAACTTTATCAGTTATTGCACAGAGTTCAGAAATGTTTTCTTAGGAAAACTTTCTTTCCACAGAATAGAAAGTGTGTTGTCACCAAAGCCTTCCCAGTCAAAATCCTAATTGTCCACATAGAAAAAATAAGTGTGTGTATTGGGTTTGTGTGGCAAGGTTTTGGTAGCGGGGCAGGGGGATGGTTACAGGGTGGCTTCTGTGAGAAGCTGCTAGAAGCTTCCCCTATGTCCAACAGA